CATCAATGTACTGACAAATTCTCTCAAATAAACTTCGAGTAATTTAAACCAATCAATCAATGATAATATTTCGATCAATCAATCAGTAAAAATCCACACAAGTTGTTCTTCATATTCTCTTAATGATTAATTTATCACTTCGTCAGTGATAAATAAGACGCAATAAACATTTAACAACTTAACCCTCTAAGCTAAGTTCGTTTGCTGTATCGCGTCGGGATGAGCTCATTATAGGGCAATTTCTTACACACGCAAGTGCTTTTAACTGATTGTTTTATTGAGTGTTGTATTTTTATGCACTGTTTTGGTTCATTTTTAGGCTTTTTGTCGCGTAAGCTTTTAATATTAAAGCAGAAATATGAACAAAATATTTCTGCTTTATTTTTTAACTATTTTTTCACATTTGTTTTTATTGTTTGAATACTGATGATTTTTACAGCTTGTTCAGGTACATCTTGGTGCATACCCACTGTTTGTGTTGGTGTCTGTACGATTTTATCGACGATATCCAGTCCTTGTGTCACCTTACCAAATACGGCGTACCCAGGGTTTCCAGCAGACTTATTTAAAAAGTCGTTATTTGCAACATTAATAAAGAATTGACTGGTTGCAGAGTTTGGCGCATTAGTCCGTGCCATAGCCAAAGTCCCACGAACGTTCTTTAAGCCATTGCTAGATTCATTCTGGATCGCTGGTTGAGTAGCCTTCTCTTTCATGTTGCTATCAAAGCCACCGCCTTGAATCATAAAACCAGGGATAACACGATGGAAAATGGTGCCGTTGTAAAATTGACTATTTACATAGCTCTTAAAATTTTTTACTGATATCGGTGCTTGATCATCATAAAGCTCTATATTGATGTTGCCTAAATTGGTTTTAATTTGCATATCTGTATTGGCGAACGCTTGATTCACCAAAACCACTAAAGCAAGACCGATGCCTATTTTTTTGATCATTCTCTTTTCCTTAAACATTTTAAATTAATAAGCCTCTCATAGTAGTCTGCTTTTATTCTGTTGAAAAATGACATTTAAACACGTTTACCAATACTCAACAGTATTCACGACTATATCTATATAGCTGTCATAAGCCTTACTGGTTGTTGAATATGTTGATGATGCTTTATCAACAAAAGAACTGTATGGATAAATCCGTGTGCTTAGCCTTTATAGAACAATTATTCTTATTTGATTATTTTTTAATCAACCACTTTTGTTCCACGTGAAACAAAAGTGACTTGTACAAGATGATATTGTGCTATTGCTTATCCCAGAATTTACGGAACTCTTTACTCATCTCTATAACGTATTTTTTAGCTTTACGTGAAACAGGGGTTAAGTTAATAAATCCGTGGGTTTGATCTTCATAATCCTGATAATGAACCTTTACGCCATTTTGACGTAACTTATAAGCATAAATTTTACCTTCATCGTGCAAAAGATCATGTCCAGCTGTTACTACAAATGCAGGAGCAAGTTTCTTTAGCTGACCATTGGTGGGTGAAATTATTGGATCATCCAATGCCATATTAAAACGCGTCGCATAATAGTCAGTCACATAATCAATATCTGAACCTGTCAAAACCAAACCATCTTTATAAGCAAAGAAAGAAGGATGTCGACTCTTGAAATCAACAGCAGGATAAATCAAGAACTGGGCTTGAGGTGCAAACACTGTATTGACTGTGCGTTGCGCAATAACAGCGCTAATATTTCCGCCTGCACTATCTCCTGCAACCGCAATACGGTTTTTGAGAATTTTAAATTGACGGCGATTTTGATACACCCAAGCCAAAGCATCTTCACAAGACTGAATTAGGTCACGTGGACCAACTTCCGGTGCGAGTGGATATTCAATACTTAAGACCTGAACTTTTGCATGGGCAGCAATTAAGCGACACACTTCATCATGGGTGTCCACACTACCCACCACAAAACCACCACCATGATAAAATATAATCATTGGCAATTTTTTATTTGGTGCAGGATGGTAATGGCGTGCGTAGACGCTACCACTTTGCAGAGGAAGACGAATATCTTCAACAAATTGGATATGGGTCGGTTTGTTTATAATAGATTGCATTTGTGATTCAAATTGCTTTCTAGAGCGCTCTACATCTGCGCCAATAAAACCCACTTTGCCCTGTTTAAGTTGAGCTGCCATCAAACATTTGGTGAAACTATCCAATTGAGGAAACTGGTACGGGTAACCCAATAACTTGGTTAATGACTCTTGAGCGAATGTAGGCAAACGATCTAAAGCCCTACCTGCCGAACCCTGCCCTTTTTCGACTAAATCATGAATACTACGTTGAAAAGCAACCATTACGATTCTTCCTTAAATGTTCAAATTCTTCATATTGTCTACATGATCAGGTATCGACTGACTATAATCTTATACAAGTCTCATCATCGATATACAAATATAATTTTTAAATACGCTAATCTGAGTTAAATGACTTGTCATTGACTATTTTGCTATATCTGAATTTTTTTTTGCTATTTTGCTTGTTAAATGGAGACAACTTATGGCTATAAAAGCATTAATTGTTTCATTCATAACATCTATTATTGCTGTTGGTTGTGTTGCATTTCCTGAAGATGGTTATGACTCTCGCGGCTATGGGCAACCCGTATATCGAGATTATGGCTATGGACAACGTTATGATCCAAGATATGACCGAAACAATGATCGCCAACGTTGGGAACGAGAACGAGCTTATCGTTTACAACAAATGCGCATTGAACAAGAACGGCGCCAAAAGAACTGGGATAAACAACGTTGGCAATATGAACAAGCCAAACGTGATCAAATGAAAAAGCAGCAATGGGAACAACATAGAAAAGATTGGAACAATAAATCAAATCGTGACCATCGCTGGGACAATAGGCCTGATCAAAAACAGTGGCAACAGCGTGATCGTCAAAATCAACAACAGCAACGTGATAAAAGACGTGATGAGCGTAAAAACAGAGATCACAACAAAGATTAATCTTCAAGAATTTGGGGCGAACCCAGATTCTTTTGTCTTTTTAGCAAACAATTTATTCATTTATAAAAGCAAACGTAATGATTTTCTTCAGTAATTAATAGCTTCTAACATTTCTTCTTTGCTGAGGAAATTTTGTCATTTGGGTCATTGCGAACTGACTCATTTCAAGTAATGATTTCAATAACATCAATTCATCATTGAACTCGAACAATTGATTTGGAAAATCGATTGTTCAGAATAGATCATGTTGGGTTTAGCAATAAACGATTTTCTAAACTAAATACATTTTTGATGTCACAAAGTTCTATTGGTCGAGGCTCTTCGATTCAATTGAACATGAATAATATTGATCATGGAAAGGAAAAAAATAATGAAATGGTCTAACGCTCTCATTGCTGCTGCGGGTCTTTTGCTTGCAACATCTGCCACTCAAGCAAAACAAGTCATGTGTGTATTTGATTTAGTAGGCAAAAATGGTGATGTGTTTACCTTAATGAAAGATTATCAACTTGCAGCGAAAAACTGGGGTGCGGATCTGGAATTAAAAGTGAATTCAAATGAATCTGTTATTGCAGAAGATTTTAAAGCGGGTAAATGTGATGCTGTCAGTATCACAGGTATGCGTGGTCGCCAATTTAATAGTTTCACCGGTTCTTTAGATGCAATTGGTGCGATTCCAGATCTCAATCTCGCGGTAAAAGTCATGCAAGGCTTAGCAAATCCAAACTTTGCAAAATACATGACCAGCGGAAAATATGAAGTTGTTGGTGTTATTCCAGTAGGTGATGCTTTCCTGATGGTCAATGACCGCAATATCAATACCGTTGCAAAAGCAGCGGGTAAAAAAATTGCGGTACTCGACTATGATCAAGCACAAAAAATTATGGTTCAACAAATTGGTGCTCAAGCAGTTGCCGCGGATGTTACAAATTTTGGCAGTAAATTCAATAATGGTCAGGTTGATATTATTGGTGCACCTGCAGCGGTATTTAAACCTTTAGAGCTGCATAAGGGTTTAGGGACTAAAGGCGCTATTGTGAATTACCCACTGCTACAAGTCACAGGTAATATCATCATTCGTCCAGATAAATTCCCTGCTGGCTATGGTCAAAAATCTCGTGATTGGATTAAAACGCAATTGCCTCGTGCAAACACCATCATTGGAAAAATGAAAGCAGATATTCCAGCGAAATACTGGATGCAAGTTCCAGATGGTGATAAACCTGGTTATCAAAAACTCATGCGTGAATCTCGTATCAGCTTGACCAAACAAGGCGTTTATAACAAACAAATGATGAAAATCCTTTGGCAATTCCGTTGTAAAAACGATCCGAAAAACTTTGAATGTGCGCTACAAGATGAGAACTACAAATAATTCTAGATTAAATCCGATAAATTTAGTCTGAATTTACTTTAAAGTTCACTCACTGACCATATATTGAGTATGTTATACTGAATATATGGTCTTTTCATTTAAGCCATTTGAAATCTGAGGAACAATATCATGACCGCCCAAGCACTTGAGCTGACTGACAATGCTGCAAATAAAGTTCGCCAACTTCGTGATAGCGAAGGTAATCAAGATCTGATGTTACGTGTCTATGTAACGGGTGGCGGCTGTTCAGGATTTTCTTATGGTTTTAACTTTGCCGAAAGTATGAATGAAGATGATGCTGAATTCATAAATGGTGATGTAAAAATGTTGGTTGACTCGTTGAGTTATCAATATCTCGTCGGTTCTAAAGTTGACTATATTGAAGGCTTAGAAGGTTCACGTTTTATTGTAGAAAACCCGAATGCAACAACAACTTGTGGTTGTGGTTCATCATTCTCCATTTAATTCAAAGCATATTTTGAATCAAATCATGCCCTCTTCTTATGAGGGCATTTTTATGGTTAGGACATCAAGGTTAAATCGTTTCTAAAATATATTGGCTCAATTGTTTTGCATTCTGCACTGGTATCCAATGCGTCGCATCCATCACAATTTCTTTATAAGCTGCTTTTACATAATGATGATTTAAGGCGACGCTTTTAGAACCGATCGCTGAGTCATGTTTGCCCCAAATAAATAAAGTCGGCACACAAACTGGTTGGGTTAAATTTTTATTTGAACTAAATGGAAGTCCCCGATACCAATTTAATGCAGAACTTAGACGCTTTTCCACCACGATGTCTTGTTGGAAATCTTCGAGTTGTTTTGCGGTCATTCCTGAATCTTTTAATAAGCCCAGACCCAACTTTGGTAATTTCTCAAATAATAATTCTGGAATTTTGGGTAATTGGAATAAACCAATATAGTAAGATTTTAACAATTGATTACTGCTGAACATCGAACGCATAAATGCTGCTTTATGCGGTACAGAAATCGTAATCAAATGTTTTATTTTTTCAGGATAACGTTGTGCAACATCCCAAGCAACCACTGCCCCCCAATCATGTCCAACTAAATAAACCTGTTGTTGGATCATATCGATTAAAGCATTTACATCTTCAACCAAAGCAGAACTTCTATAATCACGGCGGTTTTGCGGTTGTGCACCTAAACTATAACCACGTTGATTGACAGCAAAAGTACGATAACCGTTTTGATTCAAGATCTCTGCAGTTTCTTGCCAGCTTTTATTGGTTTCAGGAAAACCATGTAACAAGACAAAAGGCTGCCCATCCAAAGGACCCGAATCTATCACATCAAAGCTAAAACCCTCTCTTTGAAATGATTCTATGCGCTGTTTCTGTATCGCTAAGTTCATTGTGATCTCAGTTTTAATTTTTATTGATAGTGGAAGCTTATGCACTATTTTTTAACAGCAGTAAAGGACAATCTCAGCGCTAAACAGGTCGATCATTGTTCTACAAAATATCTCACACTGCTATACCGCACTTGTTCTTGTTTTAAATATTGATTGCTAAGGTGTATCACTCACCTTAGCAATCATTTCAGTTTTAAACTGCTGTAATCGTGCCTAAGATACGATAGCCTTTTGCCCCCGTAACAGCAGGTAGGTTGCCACTTAACTGTTGGTCAAAACGCATGGCGAGCCACGCAAATGCGGTTGCCTCTACCCATGTCGGTGCTAAGCCTAGTGCAGAAGTCGATTGTACAGACCAATTGTGCTTACGTAGACGCCAACGGAGTTGTTCAAGTAGATGTGAGTTATAAGCACCTCCACCGCAAACATAGACCTCACCCGTATCTAGAGGCGAACGATAAATGGCTTTCTTGATGGCACGTGTCGTGAGTTTCATCAACGTTGCCTGAATATTTTCAGGGGTATCTTCTAATTCATCATATTCTAAATCATTGCGCCAATCTAAAATCTGCTCATCTAACCATTCCAAGTTAAAGTCTTCACGCCCTGTACTTTTTGGAGGTTCTTTAGAGAAGTATTCATTTGCTTGAAGGCGATCTAACAATGAACGTATCGGTTGACCATAAGCTGCCCAATTGCCATTTTCGTCATAAGGTTGCCCAGTATAACGATGACACCACGCATCCATAAGAATATTGGCAGGACCTGTATCAAAACCATAAACATTCTGCTCATCACCAGCAGGCAGCATGCTGACATTGGCAATCCCCCCTAAATTGAGAATCACTCGATGAATGGTTGAATGTTGGAATAAAGCTTGATGAAACGCTGGAACTAGAGGAGCACCCTGCCCACCTGCCGCCATATCACGACGACGAAAATCTGAAATCACAGGAATTTGAGTAATTTCCGTAATAATATTTGGATCACCAATTTGTAAAGTAAACCCGTGTTCTGGGCGATGCCGAATAGTTTGTCCATGACAACCAATCGCTTTAATTTGGCTTTTATCTAAATTATTTTCTTGTATGAGTTGGTTAATGCCATTGCCAATCATGGTTGCAAGAGCGACATCCGCCTTACCCATTCGATCGATTTCATTATCATCAGGTAAGGTCAATGCCATCAATTCATCGCGTAAATGAGGATCAAAAGCGACTGTAAGCGTGGCATGGATATGTAAAGGATCAAATGAAGCAGCAACAAAATCGACGCCATCCATGCTGGTTCCAGTCATTACGCCAATATAGATTGTTGTCATGAGATATTCTTCGCCTGCATTATGCTGAAAAAATGTTAGTATATCGCACAAATAGTCTAACTGAAGTATTTGGGTTTTTGTAATGTCAAATTTCCTGCCGGCTGAAGAACAACTTGCCCTCATTCGCCGAGGCACTCACGAAATTATTTCTGAAGAAGATCTTCTGAAGAAACTAAAAGAAAATCGTCCTTTAAAAATTAAAGCAGGATTTGATCCAACTGCCCCAGATTTACATTTGGGTCATACTGTTTTAATTAACAAATTAAAAGCGTTTCAAGATCTTGGTCATGATGTCACATTCTTGATTGGTGATTATACCGCCATGATTGGTGACCCAACAGGTAAGAGTGCGACTCGTCCACCGCTATCGCGTGAACAAGTTTTAGAAAATGCCAAAACATATCAAGAACAAGTGTTTAAAATTCTTGATCCAAATAAAACCAAAGTTCGTTTTAACTCTGAGTGGTTTGCAACAAAAACCGCTGCGGATTTGATTCAATTGGCTTCGCAGCAAACTGTTGCGCGTATGCTAGAACGTGATGACTTTACTAAACGCTATAATAGCCATCAACCGATTGCTATTCATGAGTTTTTATATCCTTTAGTTCAAGGTTACGACTCTATCGCGCTTGAAGCCGATGTTGAGCTTGGTGGTACAGACCAGACCTTTAACTTACTTATGGGACGTACTCTTCAAGGTCGTTATGATCAAGAAGCTCAAGTATGTATTACCGTACCGATCCTAGAAGGATTGGATGGCGTCAATAAAATGTCGAAGTCTTTAGGCAACTATATTGGTGTATTTGATGCCCCTGGCGCAATGTACCAAAAAGTATTGTCTATGCCTGACAGCTTGATTGAACGCTATTTTGAATTACTCAGCTTTAAGTCTATGGACGAAATTGACGTTCTTCTCAAAGAAATGGCTGAAGGTCTTAATCCGCAAGACATTAAGAAAATTCTTGCACTTGAGTTGGTTGAACGCTTCCATGGCGCAGAAGCTGCTGAACATGCACATAAAGGTGCGGGTAACTTAATCACAGAAGGTGAGCTACCTGAAGGTACGCCTGAAGTGACTATTTCTCGTGGTGAATACAATGGAGAAATCTCGATTGTGTCTATTCTACGTGCCGCAGGTTTAACCAAGAATTCAGCACAATCTAAAGATGCTGTTTCACGTGGAGCCGTAAAAGTAGATTGGGAAGTTGTGGATGCAAACTTCACTGTGAAAGAAAATGTTACTTTGGTTATTCAGGCAAGTAAAAAAGCCATTGCAAAAGTGACCTTTACCGATTAATCCCGTCTAAGCCAATAAAACCAGAAAAGCCATCAACATTGATGGCTTTTTTATTGAATAAATTTATTCACCTGCAAGTGAACATTCAAAGTTGGTGCGATCTACCGTACAGCGTGCTTTTTTCAGTACCGACATCATCACAGGATCGTACACCCCTCTTTTTGTTAACTCAATCCGCCCTTCTCGCAATAATTTCTGATAACGGAGTGCATCATCCTTAGATACATTTAATTTATATTTTGCTGGAATTTCAGCTTCCATTTTTTCTATTTTCTTAAATGAACTTGGTAACTGCTTCACAGCCCACTCACGTGACTTAATACCAAAACCTTCTGGAAACTGCTCAGGTTTAATAATTAAATCAGCAGTCACATTCACTACGGGATAAGTAAACATTGCACCATTGCTACCTAAACCTTTATAAATTTCCAATGGTTTATAGGCATAGGCTGGCGAAGCAATCGCATCCACCTCACCATCATTAAATTTTTTCACAAAATTAAAAATATCAGAAGGAACCCCGATTGCGCCTACACGCTCAACGGCAACCTTTTGTGCAAGATCATAATGCAGATAGGCAAACTTTTTACCTTTGCCCTTCTCCAAAGTATTCATTGCGCGATCTTTAACAAAGATATAAGCAATACCAATCGGGGTAATCATTGCCAATTCATATTTGACCCCATTTTTTTCAGAAACCAATCTTTTTGCATTGCGTTTATCCAAGGCATAGTTGATCGCTCTTCTGGCAATTTCATTGTTGGGAATTCCTCCCAAAGCATCAATAGATCCACCAAATTTATTGTATTCACGTGAGCGCATCGTGGTCATTGCAGCGGCATCACATTTATTGGTTTTAAAATTTTTATCCACGGCTTCTTCTGACTGATACACGGTTAAATTAATATCAGCGCCCCATGCTTTGGCTGCTAAAGCCCATTCTTCCATGAGCTTATAAGATTCACCCGCTTTACCCAGTAAATCAAACACACACACATTTTGTTTTGCCTGTAGTAGCGGTGAAAAAAAAACTGAAAAAACAATCGGGAAATATCCTATTTTATTCATCATCTAACGTCCATATTTTTATAAATAGATTTATCCTTGTAGATGTAAAAGCAATCCGAGTCTTTTACTTTAACTACACATTTCTAGGTGATACTGTGATTAATTCTACATAAATTGGATATTTTTTGTTAGTTTTTTAACCAACTTTTAGATGAGATAAAAAATTTAGGGCAAAATTCTGATAAAAATAAGCGGCTGAGCTGATTTCATTGAGCGGTTTTTTATTGAGTGGTTGTAAAATTAAAATATTCTAATGATTGCTGTTGGTTTGGAAGATATACGCATTTTTTTATTGAAGCATTCACAATAAAGCATTGTTTGTTTTTTTGAATTGACGCTATTTACCCAATTTATTGTGCATTTCACTCAAGAAAAGACATTTTGTCACTTCTTTTATCAAATACATTTTTTGAACTCTATCATTTATCCTTTACTATACCGCATCCGATATTCAATAGTCAGTTTCCTATGATTCAGTTAGACCAACTTTCAATTCGCCGTGGTGGACGCATTTTATTCCAAAAAGCGTCTATGCAACTTCATCCTGGTTGGAAAATTGGTTTAACAGGTGTAAATGGTGCGGGTAAATCCACATTGTTCTCAGCACTGCTGGGTGGAATGGAGTCAGACAGCGGTAGCTTAACCCGTCCAAATATATGGACCGTCGCCCATATGGCTCAAGAAATAAAAGCCTTAGATATGAAAGCTATTGATTTTGTGTTATCTGGCGATGAAGAATATTGGCTCATCCAAGACAAACTAAACCATTCTGAAGATTTGAGCAATGATGAGTTAGCGCATTTATATAGCCGTTTTGAAGAAATTCATGGCTATACAGCTGCATCTAAAGCATCACAACTGATGGCAGGTTTAGGTTTTTTTGAACATCAATCAGAACTTTTGGTTTCAAGTTTCTCTGGTGGGTGGCGGATGCGTTTAAATCTTGCTCGCACCCTGATGAGTCGCTCAGACTTACTATTACTCGATGAACCGACCAACCATTTAGATTTAGATGCAATTTTATGGTTAGAAGATTGGCTCAAGGCATATGAAGGCACGCTCATTTTAATTTCACATGACCGCGATTTCTTAGATGCAATCACAGATCATATTTTACATATCGAAAATCAAGTACTGACTTTATATACTGGTAACTATTCTACTTTTGAAACCACGCGTGCTGAACGATTAGCACAACAACAACAAGCGTTTGAAAAGCAACAAGAAGCTAAAGCACACTTACAAAAATTTATTGACCGTTTTAAAGCCAAAGCGACTAAAGCACGACAAGCGCAAAGCCGTATTAAACAACTTGAACGTATGCAAGAGCTTGCCCCTGCGCATGTAGATAATCCATTTACCTTTAGTTTCCGTGAACCAAGCAAAATGAGTTCACCTCTGCTCACACTCGAACATGCAGATATTGGCTATGGCGATAAATTGATTGTCACCAATGTAAACTTACAGATTACGCCAAGCAGTCGTATCGGTTTACTGGGAATGAATGGTGCAGGTAAATCGACTCTAATTAAATCTTTAGTGGGTGATTTACCGCTGATTCAAGGTTTACGTAAAGATTCTGAGTTACTCAATATTGGTTATTTTGCCCAGCACCAAATGGATGCTTTAGATGGCAATGCCAGCCCGATGTTACAACTTTCTCGCATTGCTGACCCGAAGATCAGTGAAGCAGCATTACGCTCCTTTTTAGGAAGTTTTGGCTTTAGTGGCGAACGTATGGACACCCCAAGCGAAAGCTTCTCTGGCGGTGAACGTGCGCGTTTGGCTTTGGCTTTAATCGTCTGGCTACGTCCGAATGTTTTAATTCTCGACGAACCTACTAACCATTTAGATTTAGATATGCGCCATGCACTTACGATGGCTTTACAGGATTTTGAAGGTGCTGTGGTTTTAGTTTCCCATGAACGTCAGCTGATCGCTTCAGTCTGTGATGAACTTATTTTGGTTCATGCAGGTCAAAGCAAGGAATTTGACGGGGATTTACAAGATTATGCAACGTGGTTACGTCAAGCACGTATCGATATGATCAAGAATGGACAACAGCCTAGTGCACCTGTTCAATCTCAGGTGGTTGAAAAGCCAAGTATTTCAAAACTCGATAAAGAAGCACAACGTAAAGAAGCAGCTCGTCAACGTGAACTGAGCCGTCCTATTCGTAAAAATATCGAGAAAATTGAAAGTCAAATTGGAAAAATTCAACCTAGACTCGTAGACATTGAAGCATTACTTGCAGACTCAGCCCTTTATGAGGCAAACCGTAAAGATGATTTACTCAAACTCATGAATGAACAGACAGAGTTAAAAGTAAAATTAGAACAAGCTGAAGAAAAAATGCTTGAACTGATGATGGAACTAGAAACATTAGAAAGCTCTTTCGATTAAAAAGTGCTTTTAAATACAGCAAGCCCCTCAAATTAGCTAGAAATAGGCAAATGCCTTTTCTAGCTTTTTAATAAAATATAATTAAAAATCAATAATTTAATTTATAAAAAATATTTTATTTAAAGTTCTAAACGCAACTTCATCGCCTTAACAAAATTTAAAGCTCTATACCTCTTCTCATAAATCATCAGTAATTCAATACATAGCCACGCTATGCAAACACGCTCACGTGTTGTTTCTCATTACTCTAGATTCCCCCAGATCAAAAAGAAGGCTTTTTAGCACAATAATCCAATAAAAATCATAAGCTTATTTTATTTAACATCCAAACCACATCCAACAGCCACGTCCAAGCCTAAAAGCATCTTCAAATCGATAAAATACAATCATAACTTTTATTTATAATAGACAATTTCCACCGTGGAACATATTAGCTCAACTAAATAATAACTAAAAAGGCTTTAAAAAGACAATTCATTTGAATTTAAAAATGTTTTTTATCAATTACATGTGGATAAGTTAAAATTTTAAAACAGTTCTTTTGACTCATTCTTTGACAGCATTTTTTAATGATTTTGAAGTTTTATATGTGATTAAATCAATCTGTATTGACCGAATTTAAGCTTAATTGAAAAGTTACCCACACACTTATCAACATTATTTTGGTTAATAATAGAACAAAATTCAAGTGCAAAATTTAACCGTTCGTCGCTTTTTATAATGAACATTCATCTAATTTTTTTTGATTTCAGCAAAATTATTTAAAATTACATAGATCATGAATTTCGAACAATTTGTAATGAAAAAGCATAACTCGGGCTTAAAAAACTGATTTATCTATAAAAAGATTGCCGATGAAATGAGAGTTAAGTCTCTAATTCACAATAATTGTCAAAAAAAAAATAATAAATGGAGTAAATGCTCTATTTTTTTCAAACAAAGCTGATTAATATTGCGCTTATGGAAAAGTTCCTAAAGATGGATAAATAGATAAGGACGAAAATATGAAAAAAATTGCATTCGCTATTGCTGCAACTTCAATCGTTGGATTTAGTTCAGCATCTCAAGCTGCGACAGATGTCTGCGTATTTGACTTATTAGGTAAGTCAGGTGAATCATTTCAAATGGCGCAAGAATGGGCATTATCAGCAAAAAGTTGGGGCGCTGATATCAATCTCATTCCAAAACAAGATGAAGCTGTTGCAGATAACGACTTTAAAGCAGGCAAATGCGATGGCGTGTTTATGACTGCAATGCGCGCGCGTCAATACAATAAATTTGTGGGTTCAATCGACTCTATTGGTGGTGTGCCAAGTAATGCGATTGCACAAAAAGCCATTACTTTTGCCTTAGATGCACGTAATGCTGCAAAAATGACCACAACCTTGGGTGGTAAAAAATACGAAGTTGCTGGTATTGCACCACTTGGTTCAGCATTTATTTTTGTACGTGATAAAAATATCAACTCGATTGAAAAAGCCGCTGGTAAAAAGTTTGCTGTGTTAAGCTATGACAGCGCTCAAAAAATTCTAGTACAACGTGTTGGTGCACAAGCAGTTCCTTCAGATATCACCAACTTTGTTGCAAAATTCAACAATGGTCAAGTTGATATGGTCGGTGCGCCTGCTTATGCCTACAAACCGCTTGAAATTCAAAAAGGTTTAGGTGCAAATGGGGCAATGTTTAACTTCCCTGTATTACAAGTAACTGCTGACTTTGTCATCCGTCCTGAAAAATTCCCTGCAGGTTTTGGTCAAAAATCTCGTGATTATTTTGTGAAAAACTTGCCAAAAAGCTTTGCTATGATTAATCGCCTAGAAGCGACTATTCCAGCAAAATACAAAATGAATTTAACCGCTGAAGATAAGCTGAAATATCAAAAGTTAATGCGTGATGGCCGTTTAGAACTGACTAAACAAGGTATTTATGATGCAGGCATGATGTCTGTGTTGAAAAAAGCACGTTGTTCAGTAGATAAAGCCAACTTTGAATGTACGCTAGGTGGTGAATAATACTTTAGATGAAATAAGCTAAAGTCTACAAAAAAACCAGCTTTGAGAAGCTGGTTTTTTGTTTTAAATAGAAGCAGTAGCACTATCAAAATTAAAATAAGGGCTATAAAAAAGGGAATAAACCGAGGTTTATTCCCTTTTATTGATTAAAATAAGTTTAATTAAGCATCAATATCTGCATTTAATGCATTTTCTTCAATGAAAGCACGACGTGGTTCTACATCATCGCCCATTAAACATGCAAACATACGATCGGCTTCAATCGCATCATCAATGGTCACTTGCAGCATATTACGGTTTTCAGGATCCATTGTGGTTTCCCAAAGCTGTTCAGCATTCATCTCACCCAAACCTTTATAGCGTTGGATCATCATGCCGCGACGTGAATCTGTCAAAATGTGTTGCCAAACCTGATGGAAAGTCGAAACGTTGATTTTACGTTCGCCTTTTTGCAGATAAGCACCTTCTTCTAACAAGGTGAACCAGCTCTTCGAGTTTTGCAATAAACGTTTATATTCGCCCGATGCCAATAAACCCGCGTCTAATAAATAGCTATGCGGTAAATTGTGCACATAAATCGTTATACGCGGGAAATAAATCGTCGTTTTAAGCCCATCAGCAGTTTCTTTATCAAAGGGTTCCAAGCTCAACACTGGACGTAAACTCGGTTGCGTTGTTTCAATCGCAGTACGAAGTTTTTCACCCCATTGTTGTACATAATCTTGGTCATGATTTTGATCAAGTTTAAAATGCTCAAGACTCAATAAACCATCCAGCAAGGTCGCAGGATAACGCACAGTTAAACGCTGCAAACTCTTTTGAGAGGTTTGATAATCAGCAATCACTTTCTCTAATGCTACGCCACGAATTGCAGGCGCTTCAGCATTGACACGTAATTCAAGTTCATCAATCGCATTTGAAATCAAATAAGTTTCTAAAGCATCATTGTCTTTAATGTACTGCTCTTGCTTACCTTTTTTCAGTTTATACAGTGGTGGTTGCGCAATATAAATATAACCACGTTCCACAAGTTCTGGCATTTGACGGAAGAAGAAAGTCAAAAGCAGGGTACGAATGTGTGAACCATCCACGTCAGCATCGGTCATGATAATGATTTTATGATAACGCAACTTGTCTGGGTTATATTCTTCACGGCCAATACCACATCCTAATGCAGTAATCAGCGTACCCACTTCCTGTGATGAAATCATCTTATCGAAACGTGCACGTTCCACATTCAGGATTTTACCTTTGAGCGGAAGAATGGCTTGCATTTTACGGTTACGGCCTTGTTTTGCAGAACCGCCCGCAGAGTCACCCTCGACCAAGTATAATTCTGAAAGTGCTGGATCTTTTTCCTGACAGTCTGCCAACTTACCTGGAAGACCGGCAATATCAAGCGCACTCTTACGACGTGTCATTTCACGTGCTTTACGCGCAGCATCACGCGCACGTGCAGCATCAATGATTTTGCCTGCAATAGATTTTGCAGCCTGAGGATTTTCTAATAAATACTCAGAAAAGGCTTTGTTCATTGCCTGCTCGACAGCAGGTTTAACTTCACTCGACACCAATTTTTCTTTGGTTTGAGATGAGAATTTAGGATCAGGTACTTTAACTGAAACAATTGCTGTTAAGCCTTCACGCGCATCATCACCAGTAACTGCAACTTTCTCTTTTTTGAGTAAGTTTTCATTTTCCATGTAGCTATTTAAGCCACGTGTCAACGCTGCACGGAAACCAGCTAAATGCGTTCCACCATCTTTTTGTGGAATATTGTTGGTAAAGCAACGAACATTCTCTTGATAGGTATCATTCCATTGCAAAGCAACTTCAACACCTATGCCATTTTCAGCTTGAGTGGTGAAATGGAAGATTTCATTGAGATGGGTTTTACCTTGGTTAATATATTTTACAAACTCAGATAAACCACCTTCGTAATCGAAGACATGTTCTAAGGCAACACGTTCATCACGTAGGACAATACGAACACCCGCATTCAAGAATGAAAGTTCACGTAAGCGACGTGCCAAAATATCGACATTAAAAATCGTTTGGCTAAACGTTTCAGTACTTGGCCAGAAACGAACAATGGTCCCTGTGGTTTCGACATCACCCACAATTTTTAACGGATAAACTGGATCACCATGTTTATATTCTTGTTGATGAATATGACCAGCACGATGAATCGTAAGTTCAAGTTTGCTTGAAAGTGCATTAACTACAGATACACCTACGCCGTGCAAACCGCCTGAAACTTTATAGCTATTATCATCAAACTTACCACCTGCGTGCAGAATCGTAAGAATTACTTCTGCAGCAGAGACACCTTCTTCTGGGTGAATATCAGTTGGAATACCACGTCCATTATCTGCAACGCTGACTGACTCATCTTCATGAATAGTCACTAAAATTTCATCACAATGACCAGCTAAAGCTTCATCAATCGCGTTATCGACGACCTCAAATACCATATGGTGTAAGCCTGAACCATCATCAGTATCACCAATATACATACCTGGGCGTTTACGAACTGCATCTAGACCACGTAATACTTTGATACTAGAGGAATCATAAGCCTTTTCAATGGTTGGTTCTGTTTGAGAAGCTATTTGATCTTCTGAACTCATGGTTTCTCCCTAGTGAAAAATAGGTCTTTCCAAAATTGGCTAAAATCTAAAATCATGTTGCAACAACACTTACCTGACCTTGGTCAACATTGAATAACTGGTAGGAAATAGACAAATCATGTAAATGTTTTTTTACTGATTCATGGTCTAGTGTGGTAATAAAAACTTGACTACCAAGTTGGCTCAATCGCTCAATTAAACGTTGTTGTGCGCTTAAATCTAATTCTGCTGTCACATCATCTAATAATACCACAGTTTCTTTATTACAGGCATGTAACATGGCAATTTGTGATAGTTTTAAAGCCATTATCAATAACTTTTTTTGCCCTCTAGACAGTACCACATCCGCTTCGCCTAAAGGGGTTTTTAATCGGATATCTGCACGATGAGGTCCATACTCGGTATAACGTCGATCAACATCTTTTTGGTGATATTGGATCAGGTCATTGGCCAAACCATGTTCCACATGGAACCCTGCACTGTATTCCATTTCAATCTTTAAATCGGGTAGCAACTGCGCCAAATCTTCTTGCAAATATAACTTCCATTGCTCAACAATCTCGACCCGTTGAGAATGTAACATTTCACCATAATCACTGAGCATTTTGTTCCACGGCTCTAAATCGAGCAAAGTCAGATTACGTTTGGTTTTAAGTAAGCTATTTCTTTGCTTTAAAGCGCGTGAATAATATTGCCATGCATGATAGAAGTCTGGTTCCACGTGAAACATGAGCCAATCCAACAATTGGCGACGTGGTTTTGCCCCATGATCAATAATATCAGTACTTAATGGGTCAATCAGTTGCAACGGTAAGATTTTGGCAAGCTGCCCTTGGGTTGCAACAGTATCACCATTGACTTTAATTAACTGCTCACCACTTTGCAGCTTTTGCATACCAATCTTTTCAGTTAAAGATTGGGCAAAAACAATGGCGTCTGATTGATTATTTTGAATGTAATTTTTCGGGATATGTGTTCGAAAAGATCGACCTGTTGCCAATAAATGAATGGCTTCTAAAATCGATGTTTTACCTGAACCATTTTGTCCATAAAAAACATTAAACGGTTGCAACTCATGCAGAGCAACCGTCTTGAGGTTTCGAACACGTTGTATATTTAAACGCGTAATATGCATGGCTATGATTTAAAAATAAATCAATTAAACACGCATCGGCATCACAACATAAGTTTGATTAGATTGGGTTGGATCTTGTACCAATACCGACTGATTCGCTTCAGACATGGTCATTGCGACATCATCACCATCTAAAACACTTAATACATCTAAAATATATTGCGCATTAAACGACATTTCCATCGGTGCATTGGCATATTGAATAGCTAAATCTTCAATCGCTTCATCTTGCTCAGGGTTATTGGCACGTAATTGCAAAGAATCAGCATTAAAGTTTAAGAATACGCCACGTAATTTTTCATTACTTAAAATCGCAACACGTTGTAAGGATTGCTTAAATACATCATGTGGAATATTTACAACTTTGTCACCGCCACGTGGAATCACACGACGATAATCAGGGAATTTCCCATCAATTAATTTTGTTGTGAAACGTACCGTAATATCGCCTTGTTCTTTGTCGCGGCTAGAGGTTTGAATGGTAACATTTAACAATTCACGACCAATTAACAAGGTCAGTTGCTCATCTTCAATACTTAAAAGACGTTGTAACTCACCGACTGCTTTACGTGGAACAATGGCTTGAACCAATTGTGCAGCGGTTGAAGACGCTAATGTTTCACACAATGCTAAACGGTGCCCATCGGTAGTGACTGCGCGTAATTGATTTTCATCAATTTCCAATAATGTACCTGTCAGGTAAAAACGTACATCTTGCACAGCCATGGCAAATGAAGTTTTTTCAAATAAACGTTTTAATTCACGCTCAGTGACTTGAACTTGAGTGCCTTGGCTATTTTCATTGGTTAACAATGGATAATCTTCAGCAGGTAAGGTTCCTAAAACAAAGCGACTGTTTCCAGATTTTAAAATACAGCGTTGATCTTCAGTGATCTGCAAATCAATCAAAGCTGCTGCTGGTAAAGATTTACAAATATCGACCAACTTACGTGCAGGAACTGTGGTTTCCCCTGCTTGTAAACATGCACCTTCAGCTAGAGTTGTACTTGCCACAAGCTCCACTTCCAAATCTGATCCTGTAATCGTAAGGGCTTGATTTGTAGCTTGAATTTTCACGTTTGAAAGAATGTTTAAAGTATGGCGACGTTCAACTGCTCCAACCACATGGGACAAAACATTAAGTAAGCTCTCTTTCGCGATTTTCAAACGCACGGTGGAATTCCTCTAACTAAATATGACAAAAATGTGGGTAATAAATTTTTTTTAATGACGTACTATGCGGCAGTTTATGCCGCATTGCAAGCGCATAATTTGTACAAATTTTAACTTTGTAACAGGCGCATGAGGTTTTTATAATCCTCATTAAAAATTGGATCTTCATCGCGTAAACTTTGCACTTTTTCACAGGCATGCATGACCGTACTGTGGTCACGACCGCCAAAAGCCATCCCAATTTCAGGGAAACTGTCTCCAGTAAGCTCACGCGCAAGCCCCATCGCCAACTGACGTGGTCGTGCGTAAATACGTGTGCGTTTTGGCCCCACCAACTCTTTCAATGGTATACGGAAGTATTCGCTCACTACGCGTTGAATATTTTCAGTACTGATGGTACGGGCACGAATCGCCAAAACATCTTTCAATGATTCACGAACCACTTCTAGATCAATTGCAGAACCCTTAAAGCGTGAGATTGCCACAACTTTGTTTAAAGCGCCTTCAAGCTCTCGCACATTGGCAACAACCTGTTGTGCAATAAATAAAGCGCAATTTCGAGGCAGATCGATGCCACTGCTTTCGGCTTTTTTCAGCAAAATTTCGATACGTGTTTCAATATCTGGTGGTTCAACCCCAACCGATAATCCCCATGAAAAGCGCGAGACTAAACGCGGATCCAATTCGGTTAATTCTTTTGGATAACGGTCAGAGGTTAAAATAATTTGTTTAGATTCATCCAATAAAGCATTGAATGTATAGAAAAATTCAACAAGACTGGCTTCTTTACCCGCCAACAAATGAATATCATCAACCAACAATAAATCTAAAGAACGGCAATTCTTTTTAAATTCTTCAACCTTGCCTTTTTGCAGAGAGCTGACAAAGTCTTGGACAAAGCTTTCCGCAGTCATATACATCACACGCGCATTTGGCTTTGCTTGTAATAATGCATTACCAACGGCTTGCATTAAATGCGTTTTACCTAAGCCTGTAGGGCCGTATAAAAAGAGTGGATTATGTTGAGATTCACCCAGTTGTGTTAAAACTTTGCGGCAAGTTTCAGCCGCCATTTGGTTTGAACGACCTTCAACAAATAAAGCAAAGTTAAATAATGGGTTAAGTTGTCGTTTCTTCACATTTTTTGCAGAAACAACTTCATATTCTTTGTCTTTTTTGGCTTTGACATGCTGTGTAGGCATTGGAGAACTTTCAAGCGCTGCCGTTGTGGTAGCAGGCTGTTCAGCAGCAGAAAGAATTGCACCAGGACGCGAGTCGACTAAAATTTCGACTTTGCGAATACGACCTTCAGATAATTGTTCTGCCAAAATAGAAATCAGTTCTAAATGATGTTCTTGAATGTAGCGAGTCCAATATGGATTGGGTGCATACAGTTTTAAAGTATCTTCGACTTCTTCTGCAACCAAAGGACGAATCCACATGGCAAAGACATTATCAGAGAGCTCTTGTCGCAAGCGAGTTAAGCAGTCCGTCCAAAGCATGTGAAACCCCTTCATTCAATTTTAAATTCAAAAAAGACTATTTACCCCTACCCTGTAGGTGAGGGGGTCGCCATTCTAACCAAGTTATCCACATCTGTCATGGTTAATTCAATCTAATTCGCTCAAAAAAGCAACCTTCTGTAAATAAATTCAAATTCAAAGCAGTTGTGGATAAGGTTTTCCACAAGCTGTGGATAAATTATCACAGAAAGTTATCCACAATCCATCAAATTAATAGAAACATGGATACTCACAGGGTAAGTTATTATTATTTATCTTAAAAAAGCGGTTTTCCACAGAAAAAATGCTCCCTAATAATAATAAATATAAATTTTAAATTTGAATTTATTTATAAGGATCAGGATTTCTGTGGATAAAGCTTCAGTTATGAATTTAAATTCAAAACAACACGATTTTTAAATTTAAAATTAAGAAATTAAATTTAAATTGTGAATCAGCCTATGGATAACTTTGAGGATATATCTGTGCGTAACTCTTATTTGCATTATAAAAGAATAAGTTATGCTGTGAATATATATTTTTGATAATTTATTCAATTTAATCTATATAAAGTTGTTGTCTGGGTAAAAATAAAGCGTCTATATAAAAGAAATGTGTATATTTATTGACAGAATAAAGAATGCACAATACAATCGCGAACCTTTAGAAAAGATCAATTTTGGAGTTTCGATATGAAACGTACATTCCAACCATCTGAATTAAAGCGCAAGCGTGTTCATGGTTTCCGTGCTCGTATGGCTACTAAGGCTGGTCGTCAAGTATTAGCTCGCCGTCGTGCAAAAGGCCGTCATAGTTTAACTGTTTAATTTTTTAGACAGTTGATAGACGACTTGGGTGTTATGTCTCTTTATAGTTTCAGTCCAGAGGTGAGAATCCACTGCGCTGCTGATTACAAAGATGTATTTGATGGTGCGCTTTTTAAAGTGCATCAACCCCATTTTATATTCTTAGCAAAAGTTACCGAACAGCCTAAAAGCCGTTTGGGTATTGTTGTTGCAAAGAAGAAAGTGCGCCGTGCGCATGAAAGAAATCGAATAAAACGTTTAACGCGTGAAAGTTTTCGCTTAAACCAGCAAAATATAGATTTATTGGATATTGTGGTGATGCCTAAAGTTGGTATAGAAGCAGTTCCAAATGCTGAGCTTTTTCAGCAATTACAATTTGCTTGGTTGAAATTGCAGCGCATCGTTAAAAAGCACCATAAAATAGCTCAATCTTCCCCTCAAAAATAGAGGATACCAATGATTCGTTTATTGCATTGGTTGATTCGTTTCTATCAAATTGCGATTAGTCCTCTCATTGGACCTCGTTGTCGTTATATTCCGACTTGTTCTCAATATTCGTTAGAAGCGATCCATACGCACGGCGCATTAAAAGGTAGCTGGTTAGCGACCAAACGCGTGTGTCGTTGTCATCCTTGGGGTGGGTATGGTTATGATCCTGTGCCAAAAAAAACAATTCGTTTTATTTCATTTCAGCAAATAGATTCTCAAACGCTTCATGTTCCTGTACCCTTGCGTGAACGTTTATTGAACCAAAATCACTCTAACCACTTGGGGTAATAGATATGCAACAATGGGCCAGGTTTGCAATCCTTGGGGCCATGTTAGTCACCGCATATTTGCTCATTTTGGCTTGGCAAAAAGACTATGGTCATGACAATACATCGAAGGCTGCGACACCGCAGGCTGTTGTAGCGCATGATGTGTCTGCCGATCTGCCAAAAGGTCAAGCAACTGCGGCCACTAGCGATGTTCCACAAGCAAATATAGCTGCTGCACAACAGAATACAGCTGCACCAGCCACAGCAAATCAACAATTGATTTCAGTACAAACTGACCTTTATCATCTTTGGATTAGTCCTAAAGGTGGTGATATTGTTCGTATTGAATTACTGAATCATGACAAGAGCAAAGACAGTGATCAGCCTTTTGTTATGCTTGAAAGTGATGCAAAACGTACCTATGTTGCGCAATCTGGGTTAATTGGATTGAATGGTCCGGACAGTAAGCCAGATCGTCCAAACTATGCGTTTGAAAAAACTGCTTATACTATTGCAGATGCCAAAGCAGCCAAAGACAAAGATGGAAAAACATCGCAAGTTTTAGCTGTACCAATGGTATTTAAAACAGCAGATGGCGTTGAAATCATCAAAACATTTACCTTTAAACAAGGTCAATATCCAATCGATGTGAGCTATCAGGTTGTCAACCGTAGTGCGCAAAATTGGCAAGGACAAATGTTTGGTCAAATTAAGCGTGATAACTCAGATGATCCAGGAAAAACCTCTCAAGGGATTTTTACACTTGGAACATATTTGGGTGGCGCTTGGGGTACACCTGATGAGCATTATAACAAGCTAAAATTTGCAAATTTTACTGATGAAAAACTCAACACTGAAGCAAAAGGCGGATGGGTTGCGATTGTTCAGCATTATTTTGTAAGTGCTTGGATGCCTGGTCATTTTGGCGGTCAAGAATACACAGCAAAATTGGAATCTCGTAAATCTGCAGATGGTATGAATATCATCGGATTTACTTCTCCAACCATCAATGTTCCAGCTGGAAAAGCAATGAGCATTGATGCAACGTTCTACTCAGGTCCAAAAATTCAATCTGAATTAAAAGACTTGGCTGTTGGTTTAAACCAAACTGTAGACTATGGTTGGTTATGGCCAATTGCAAAATTATTATTTGCTGGTTTACAGTTCTTCCATAATCTTGTAGGTAACTGGGGCTGGTCAATTATCTTATTGACTGTATTGGTTAAGCTTATTCTTTGGCCTTTGTCGTCTAAGAGCTATCGCTCTATGGCGAAAATGCGTGTGATTGCACCTGAAATGCAACGCATGAAAGAAGAGTTTGGTGAAGACCGCATGCGTTTCTCACAAGAAATGATGGCGCTTTACAAACGTGAGCAAGTCAATCCACTTGCGGGTTGTTTACCATTGTTGTTGCAAATGCCAATCTTCTTAGCATTGTATTGGGTATTGATGGAATCTGTAGAGCTTCGTCATGCACCATGGATGCTTTGGATTCAAGATTTATCTGCAATGGATCCTTGGTTTATACTGCCGTTGATCATGGGTGTAACGATGTTTGTTCAACAAATGTTGAACCCACAACCTACTGATCCAATGCAAGCTAAAGTCTTCAAAATCATGCCGATCATGTTTACAGTATTTATGCTGTTCTTCCCTTCTGGCTTGGTTTTATACTGGATTGTGAACAACTCGATCACGATTCTGCAACAATGGTTTATCAACAAAAATGTTGCTAAAGCCAAAGTCGCAAGCGAAGTGGTTTAATCTTCATAGATTAAGCAATAGCTGAAAAAATCCGCTTAAGATGGTAATCTTAGGCGGATTTTTTTATTGTCAAAGTTTGAGTAATTTAGATGAGTAACCCTGTAAGCCAAACCACAATTGCAGCAATTGCGACTCCACCTGGACGTGGTGGTGTAGGTGTGATTCGTCTATCTGGTCCTAAGGCTTATGCGATTGCACAAGCTTTAACTCAAAAAGCGCTTCCCCAAGCGCGCTTTGCTGGCTTTCGTCAGTTTTTTGATGAAAAAGGTGAAGTGATGGATGAGGGGCTAGCAATTTGCTTTCCAAATCCAAACTCGTTTACGGGTGAAGATGTGGTGGAATTGCAGGGACATGGTGGTCCTGTAATTCAAAATGCACTTCTTGCACGATTGTTCGAGCTGGGTGCTATTGCCGCCAAAGCAGGCGAGTTTTCCATGCGAGCCTTTGAAAATGGCAAAATGGACTTGGTTCAAGCTGAAGCGATTGCAGATTTAATTGATGCAACTTCACAAGCCGCTGCGCGTTCTGCAGTACGTTCTTTGCAAGGTGCATTTTCCAATAAAGTGAATACTGTATTGGAAAAACTGATTCATTTACGTTTGCATGTTGAAGCGGCGATTGATTTTCCTGAAGAGGAAATCGACTTTTTGGCAGATGGAAAAATTCTTCATCTACTTGAAGATGTGCAGGCTTCAGTCTCTGCTGTACAACACTCTGCGCGTCAGGGGCAGTTATTACGTGAAGGTCTGCAAGTGGTGATTGCAGGTAAGCCCAATGCGGGTAAATCTTCGTTATTGAATGCCTTGGCGGGAAATGACCGTGCCATTGTTACGGATATTGCAGGAACGACGCGTGATGTACTGCATGAGAAAATTACTTTAAATGGCTTGCCTATCACACTGACCGATACTGCGGGCTTACGTGAAACAGGTGATGTGGTCGAAAAAGAAGGCATTCGCCGAGCAATCAAAGAAATTGAGCAAGCGGATTTATTACTTTTGGTTTATGACCTCAGCCAAGGTGAAAATCCTTTAGCACTTGCTCAGCGCTATTTTGAAGATCATTTAGAAACTAAACGCTTGATGTTGATTGGTAACAAATGTGATTTAACTGCGCAATCACCTGAATTAAGTGATTTTCAAGGTTTTCGCCATATTAGCGTGTCGGCCAAACAGGAAATGGGCGTACAAGCGCTTATAGATGCGATTACAGCGCATGCTGGCTTCCATCCTGAAGAAGATACCTTTATTGCACGGACACGCCATTTAGACGCAATGAAGCGTACTCAGCACTATCTTACAGAAGCACATGAGCAACTTGAGGTCTATCATGCGGGTGAACTGGTCGCTGAATCGTTACGTTTAGCACAGAATGCCTTAGCTGAGATCACAGGCGATTTTAGTGCAGATGATCTATTAGGGGTAATTTTTGGCTCGTTCTGTATTGGAAAGTAATCCTTTACTCTAAAAGCTTAAAAGCGGACATAAGTCCGCTTTTTTTGATGAAAAGTTGTGCTTTTGTAAGCTGAATTTACATCAATCTTAGAATTGTTTACTGTAAGATCAATTACATATTCAACAAAGGCTTCTTTTCATGAAAAAAACTCCTTTATTGCTTGCGATTGCTGTTTTAGTGATGACGTCAAATGTTTGGGCGGGTAAAGATGATCATGTGATTATTCAAGAAGCTGCCAAAAACAAGATCACCATTGGACAAGCAATACGTGCCAATGATGAAACAGCTGTCACCTTGACGGGGACAATTGTTCGTCAAATAAAACATGAACATTATGAGCTAAAAGACAGCACGGGCACCATTGGGATCGAAGTGGATGACGATCTTATCGATTTAAAAAAGTTAAAACCGGGTACCAAAGTTAAAGTTGTGGGGGAAGTCGATACTCACCGCTATAAACCTACTGATATAGAAGTGGTTAAAATTGAGATTATTCAATAATTGCTTTTAACCAACATCTAGGCGCACAGCGCCTAGATGTTTGATCCAACTTTAATTTTTAAATGACTGATCAATAAATAAATACATAAGATACCAATTCCTGCACAAAAGCCTAAAACACCAACCATTAAACCGAAATGATCAGATAAAAAGCCTGCGCTAATGATCGGCACAATTGTACCAAAATAGGCAATAAAC